CCTGGACCTCCACGCCTCCCCCCTGGCCACGCGGGACCCCACGCTGGAGGAGCTGTGCGTGCAGTTCCTGGCCTGGAACTTCGAGGCCCTGACGGGGGCCGAGGCCTGGCCGCGCGTCCCCACGGCCCTGCTCCGCGCCCTGCTCTCCCGGAGCGAGCTGGCCGTGCCCAGCGAGCTGGCCCTGCTGACCGCCCTGGACGCCTGGAGCCGGGAGAAGGGGGCCGCCCCCGGGGACGTGGAGGGCCTGGTGCGGGAGGTCCGTTTCCCCATGATCCCGCCCGAGGACCTCTTCCAGCTGCAGAGCAACCTGAGCCTGTACCGCAGCCACCGGGCCCTGTTCCAGGAGCAGACCCTGCAGGCCCTGGAGTTCCACACGGTGCCCCTGCCGCTGCTGGCCCAGCTCCGCGGCCTGAACCTCAGCCAGGACGCCTACCAGCCCCGGCTCTACACCTCGCCCACCTGGAGCGGGGCCGTGGCCAGGAGCTCCCGAGAGTCCTCCCGCCGCTCTTACGACTCGTACCCCTACCGTTATGGCTCGTACCCCAACCGGTATGACCGCTATGACCGTTATGGCCGCTACGGCCCTACGTCGGCGCCCACGGGGTACTTCCAGACGCCGCAGCACCCCAGCTTCCTCTTCCGGACCAGCCGCATCTCCTGGACCCTCGCCTACCTCCCCACGGTCCAGAGCTGCTGGAACTACGGGTTCTCGTGCTCCTCCGACGAGGTGCCCGCTCTGGGCCTCTCCAGGTCCGGCTCCTCCGACCCCACCATCGGCTATGAGAACAAGGCACTGATGCTCTGCGGGGGCCGCTTCGTGGCCGACGTCACGGCCTTCGAGGGCGTGAAGGCCGCGATCCCCAACGCCCTGAACGCCAACAGCTCCAGGAGGGCATCCTTCTTCCCCTGCCCCGCAGGCTCCTTCAGCAGCTTCCGGGGCGTCATCCGCCCCTTCTACCTGACCAACTCCTCGGGGGTGGAGTAGCCGGGGGCTGCCCTCCCTCGGGGGCACACCTTCCCCCTCCCGCCACGGGCGCTGAGCCCAGCTCCTTCCCCTCCGCAACAGCCGCCTCCCACACCGGCCTCCAGGTGTCCCCCTGCTCCCACTGATCTCTCTGAGCTGAAAGAAAGCGCCGGAAGGTTCCAGCGAGGCTCACCCCAGGCCGAGAATCCCCAGTCCCCGCTGCCCGCTGGCCGGAAGCAAGGAGACTGGGCCTCATGGCCGCCGGGCCTTCCTCGCCGCCTTCCCGCTCAGTCCTGTCTCGGATGATTAAAGTTGCACGGTGCTGCCGGCTCGTTCACGCAGAAGGGGTGTGGCGTCCATTCTGCCTCAGACGCTGGGTGCCGGCCCCGGGGTGCAGTGCACAAGCAGACCCGGTCTCTGTCCTCCCCAAGCCCCGGGCTAGTGGGCGACGGGAGATCGCACGTGAACGCACACCGCCTGGGTATTAACACTGGGGTCATGGGCACCGTGGGGCACCTGACTGGTCTGTGGAGCAGGGTGTGTCCCGGGTTCCAGGAACCTGTCCCCCGTTAACCGTGTGCACAGGGATGAGGGACACAGACTCGCGCCAGCATCGTTGGTAAGAGCAAAAACTCGGGAACAAGGCAGCCACCCGTCGACGGGGGGAGAGCGGGTCACATAGTTTGAGAAGTGCAATGTCTTCTACTCACAAAATATTTCACAGATGGTTTACCCCTGAAAACAGAGGATGCCAAGGCTATGTGGAGTTAAGTCATTTATCCAAGGTAACAAAGTTAGCAAGCAATGGAGGTGGGATTAGGAAGTTCACCCGCAAGCAACAGATAAACTCTTCCCCACAGCCCTGCAGAACCGCAGACCCCACCCCCCCAACCCCCAGCTCCGGCACCTTAGCCACTTGCTGGCCATTCTTGGCTTATTTTTTTGATGGTTGCTAATCCGCACCCCAGGGTATTTTTCCCATTGATTTTTTGAGTGAGGGAACGAGGGGGCGGGGGGAGAAACATTGATGTGTGAGGCACAATGATTGGTTGCCTCCCACACCCACCCTGACCAGGCAGGGTTCGAACCTGCAAATCCAGGCATGTGCCCTTGACCGGGAATCACACCCGAGACCCTTCAGTGCATGGGGTGACACTCTACCACTGAACCACACCAGCCAGGGCTGCTGTCCTGGGGCTGCCGTCACAAATGGCCACAGATGGGGCTGGACACAGCACAGACTGATCCTCTCCAGGGCCGGCAGTCAGAACTCCTGGTCCCA